CAGTGTCCGTTAGTTGTAAGCTTCTGATGATCAAACTCCTCAGTATTCCAATCTTCAGTCTGTAGTTATGGTGAGACTGAAAATTGAGGATTATTCCCGCATATGAATTCTTTCTGTATAGTCTCCTCATGATTGTTTCATTAGAGCGCATGATTTTAGTATCCTGAAAGGGCAGTCGTTTATCCTTCACCTCCATTGTGAATTTAATTTTTTCATTAAGTTGGCTAATAAAATTAAGGAATCCATTCAAATTTTCTTCACCATGTGACTAAAGTGCAAAGTAGTCATCCAACTATCGCATAAGCACTCTTGGTTTCAGTGGTGACTTCTCGAATTCACTTTCAATTTGTCCATGTACACATTTGCCAAAACAGGTGAGAGTAGAGATCCCATCGGTAGTCCAAGTATTTGATCGTAGATACTGCCGCTAAATGTAAAATAGGTGATCCTTACTGTCAGGTTGATCAGTCGTGTTAACGATTCCTTCCGTATTTGTTCTGTCTTCAGGATATTCTCTTCTTGCTCCAATATCTCCTATAAGGTGCTTACCGCTGGCTCACCTGAGACTTTTGTGTACATGGATTGTACATTGAAACTCACTAACAGTTCCGTCCCCAACAGCCCAATTTTATGGATCCTTTGAGAAAATTCATATGAATTATTAATGGTATTCGAAAGTCTGCCATTTACTTTCTTGAGCTTTAAGCAAAGGAATTTCACTAGTTTGTGTGTTACTCCATGATTTTTATTGACGCTTAATCTTAGCGGATTTCCTTCATTGTGTATCTTCGGTAGTCCGTAGGCGGTCGGTGGTCTTGTGTCATATTTTATTAAAGATTCTATCATCCATCTATCAATTTCCCCATTATTATAAATTTCCTTTAGCATATTCTTCAGTGTTCCATTGATCTTCATGGTTGGATCCTTCCTTAGTATTTGATAAGTGTTCCGATCGCCTAAGATACTTTCCATTTTCTCCATGTAATCTTTTCTGTCCATTACAACCATCGCTCTTCCCTTATCCGCCTGAAGAAGTATTTGCTCATTCTTTTGTAATTTTTTCCGTATGCCAGTCAATCTACTCCTGTGTATTGGTTCTTGATGTGCCAGGATCCATGGGATTATTTCCATTTCCATTTGCCGCCTTTTCTCTTCTGGATATTTATCTGATATGTTGATAACTTCCAACAGAATATCACAAAGAATGCTTCCTTCGTTAACTAGGGAAAAAGTAAATCCTTTCTTTAAGAGATCCATTGTTTTAGAATCAAGAGGGATTGAGGATAGTTTTACCACCTTTCCCCTAATGTCTTTTGTAGCAGTCGAGGCCTTCAATACAGAACCACCAAAATTTGCCTGAATTGGTCTGGTCTTGCCTTGTCTTATTATCCCATAGCTAAGAAATTTATTGTCATGCTGCTTATTCATCAGATCCCAGACACCCTGTGAATTCTGGTCCGTCATGCTCTGAAGCTTTTGATAATCATCCGAAGTGGAAACCCTGCCTAGACCCTTCCTTAATCTAGACTTAAATATCTTACGTATCTCAGTCTCGTAATTTTCCTTTAATTTCTGGATGAAGACGTGATAATATATTTCAATAACTATGTCCGAATGGCACTTAATCATTAGATTGCAGAATCGAAGAGCGAAAACGCAATGCATGCAACAATTCAAAAAGGTCAAATGGCAGGATTGACGTATTATTGTCTTCTCTGTCCGGTTGTAATCGGTTCATTGTTTTGCAATCTTACTTCCATAGTTTAATCGAAAGTATGAAGACCAAGATAGTGTGGCATTTTGTGGGGTCGCAGCCACCTTTCTTTGTATAGTAGTTGTTTGATCTTGCTTTAGCAACTTGGTTATATTGGTAGGAAGACTTAGAGGAACTCAACTAGCCCGGAGTCAATTGTAAGCATGATAATTTCCAAAGTCGATCCGTTGACGTGATGCATTCGCAGACGTTTCGCCGGCATCATCTGTGAGTCCTCCCATTCTTAGCACCGCACTTGTCAAAGAGACAAGTGAAGCCGATCCTTTGATTAATTGTCTGCTAAACAATCGTGGTATTTCTTCTTCCGCCCTGGGATAATCACCAATTCTGTATCCTCGTATCACGCCTTCACTATCACAAATTTTTACTTGTTTATTTAAATGTGGTTTGGTGTGCTCTATTGAGCGGCTTCCATGAGAACTCTCCACACACTCTGGCTTTCTCACCCCCTCATCCCCCTTTACCCTTGTGCTTGTAATGTCGGTAAGAGTATGTCCTATCGTTATGCAGTCATCCTTCCATAGGTATTATCAGAGTCTCTCTTGCTCCGTAGGATCCGTCTGCTATCTCCTTGGTCCAAGTATTTCACTCGACCCCTGCCACCCCATCTGTGCTACTCGAGGCGTTATTTCCCACACTCTGCCTTTGGTAGACTAACTTAGGGCTAAAATTCCTGAATAATTTTCATGGTCAAGCCTTTGCTACTATGACAAAACAGGCCTATTGTCAGCCAACTAACTCTAGTCTCCGCTGCGTCTATCCTTTTTAAATCCCTAATACCAAGTATATATGTTCCTATGCCCTATTCTCTTGTGTGCCAACCCATAAATGTTGTGTTCAATGTTAAACCTAATCAAAGCAAGCATTATGACAACATTTGTGGATTGGTACACAAGAGATTAGAGCATAGAAAGTTATTGACTTGGTATTACGGATAGAAACATGATAGACGCTGCGGAGACTAGAGCTAGTTGGCTGACAGTAGGTCTGTTTTACCTTATACATGGTCCATGAAGTACTGGCTTGACCATGCTAGTTTTTCAGATACTTTAGCCCCAAGTTATTCTCCCAGAGGCAGAGTGTAAGAAATAACGCCTTGAGTAGCACAGATGGGGTGGCAGGGGTCTGGTAAAATACTTGAACCAGGGAGATAGCAGACGGATCCTACGAGGCAACAGGGAGACTGATAAGACCTAGGGAAGGAGGATTGTGTAACAATATGGCAGACTCTGATTAGCATTCCTAGCATACGTATGAAGGGGGGAGTTAGAAAGCTAGCAATAAGTGTAGAAAATTATCATGAAAGCTGTTCTTAAGGGCACACTATACCATAATTTAATAAGCAAGCAAAAATGTGTGATAGTGAACGCGTAATATGAGGATATAGGATTGGTGATTATTCTAGGATGGAAGGAGAGATACCACGATTGTTTACCAGACAATTGGTCGAAGAATAGGCTTCACTTGTTTATTTGACCAGTTTTAGTGTGGTGCTAAGAATGGCAAGACTCACTGACGATGCCGGCGAAACGTCTGAGAATGTACTACGTCCACGGTCCGACAACGGTAATTATCATGCATAAAATGGAGTTCGGACTAGGTGCGTTCCTTTAAGTCTTCCTAACATTATGACCAAGTTGCGAAAACAAGGTCAAACAGCTTTTATAACATATTTTTTACTTTATCTCCTTATGTTACTGCATCTAACTGACAATCCAATCAGTGTCATATTATCTAATATTTATAGTTTCCTCGATCATCCAAATCACTTTTAACCCTTAAGCATCCGGTATATTTTTTATTCGTTTATAACGCCATTTTTAATCCGTTTATCAGGCAGCCGCATCTTTTGAAAAAGTATTGAAAGCCAACCCGAATAATTATGAAACATTGAAAATCCTCGGCAGTTTGTATGCTCAATCAAACAAAGCTGATCGGCGAACCCAGGCAAAGCAGCTATTCAAGCAGGTAACGGTACTCATATTTAGATTTCTAAATACGAGTATAATTTGTATCAAAATATCGTGGTTATACATCATACTTTATATTTAAATAAGCAGTTTCAGCAATGGTGATATTTAATTTTTCCTGAAATTGCCAGCTGGAATATTACCCCAGAGTTTAATCCTTGGCTTTTTTAAAATTGATTTTCAATTTTTCAAGTTTATAAGTTTTATAATATCAAGACAAAAGGAATTGTCTCTTATTCAGTAAGAGACCTTACTCTAAAAGATACATATATCAATGGGACGAACTCAGACTGTCAGATGATTTGACTAATTTATTTGGAACTCATCCAATTTGCTCCTCTAAAAAGTTTTAAATACCTTGTGAATTAAAATTGTGAATCCTAACTTCATTTTTGCTAATACAAGACCCTTCAAAGAAGTTAATCTTTAGCAGATAATCACTTTGGTATCCAATCAGCAATATTGCGGATTCGGCATTGTGCTGATACCAGAATCTTGACACTTATATTCCCCCTGGCTGATTTTACAGATGGTGAATGATTACTTATAGCCTGTATCTGAATTCGATACCTATCTTACTCTTCTTAGAAATTTGCTTACTAGTTCACTGAGAACATACTTATTACGGGAGAAATGGTTTAAAGGATAGACAACCTCTCTTTTACTAAATTCGAACATCAGGTGACCGATCAGCAGCCAGACGACGTAGAGGCTTGGATCGAGTATGCTCAATTACTGGAGAATGACGTGAACGGAGCTCTCGAGGCCTATCTTAAAGCTTTGGCCATTCTGGAGCAGATCCAGTTGGATGTCTCACCTGAACTGCTGAATAATGTAGCTGCTCTATACTTCATTAAGACAGACTATCCGAATTCTCAGGTGAGATATTTGTACTTCACATATTTCTCAATTATTCGTCATTTCGAATGTTTTTTTCTAACTGGACGATGCCTCGGTTTTAAAGAATTTCATTCATCAAAGGGCATATAAAATACTTATATATCTTTATTTTTATTAACGTAAAATTTTTAAACATCAAAAGGTTGCTGTATTTGTTGCATCTAAAGACTACTCTTTACTCATAAATAATTTATTAATGTCCTAAATAAGGTTATATGTAGCATGGCTTCGAGCATTTCGCTAATGAACTATTTAATGGAAGGAGCTATAAATAACTTTAACCCAGATATAGATCATTTCGCGTATTATTTTTAATCTCGCTCAAGGGGGCTTTCTAAACGATTTCCCAAAGGAAATAGTTTCATCTTTTTGTTTATTATCACTTTATTGTTGAGCAAATGCTTATTATTAATCCTCAAACTCCTAGTCAAGACTCTATCTAATATAACGTCATCTCTTTGACACCTGAATTTCCATTATCATGTCGGCATATTCTAAAACTTTAGAAATTTGGTGTTGGTTGGATCTCATTTTCGCAACTTGGTCACATAAGAAGTGAGACCTTGTGCAACGTACTTAGTCCTGCGTTCTTTGCCATAGTATGCATGATGGTTTTCAGTATCATACAGTTGACTTTTTACATTCTCAGACCTTTCTCTGATATTGTAGTTGTCATCGCCAGTGAGAGGCACAGAATTAGCACAGAATTACGACTTAGCAACGTGATAAATGAAGACAGTGCCCTTGACTAATTTTCTCTAGCCCTTGTTGCATCTCCTTGACCCTATTTTTAACCTAGCTTCTCGTTATGCCTCTCCATCTCTCAATCACATTTCATATGGCCAATTTACCTATTCACACCATTCTGTATTCCTGTTTTCTCCAATGTCGTCTAAGAGTGCGTCGCTTCAGGTATTTTGATGAATCATAATCTTCACCGCTGGTTTCAGATGTCGTTATCAGGGCTTTTAAGTCATGACTTTTGACTCTAATTTTGTCCCTCTTCACTCCACTTGCCAGTTGTTCCCTCATATACATACAAATCTGTCTGTCAGACTAAGAATAAAAACTAGGCTTTGAAGAATTCCTTAATTAAATATTGTGATATGACTCTTGAGGGAAAGTTGGTTGAAAGGAATTAGTGATGTGGTCTCACCGCGTGGGGAAGACTGTTGAATTATGCGAAGAAGTCCTTGGCTTACCGTCCTGCAACCCCGATGAGTATGGAAAGTAAGGTTAAAGTAGCCAACCAAATCATGGGGTGCCTCATTAAGATCGCGAAGTTAGGTGTATAAAAAGCGACCAGGGTTGCAGCCGGCTATCTTTTCTCTTGGCTTAGTATATTTTTGCTATATTTCGTAAAGCATGTAATCTTGCTCGGATGATGTCTGTGACAGTACAGATAAAAGCTCAGCACAGATTCATCGGCGTCGCAAGATGGTGAGCCAAAGACTTCTTCGCAATCAAATTTCCCTTTGAAATAGAGGGTCATGCCACAATGTCTGTAAGACTGTCTAAAATTTGGCTATCTATGAGACCTCAATTCTGCTACCGGTTTATGTCATATTCGACGATTTAGGAATGAGGACAACAACCAAAAGTGGATTTGCTTGCCCTCATCACAACTGAGCCAACAATTGCGACCTTTATCAGGAGAATAGAATATCAAGGTGATAACAAAGGAGAAGAAAGCACTTTTCATCGGTCTGCCAACACAACATGAGAAGACGGATAAACTTGATTGTTCGGGAGTTTATCGCATCAAATGCGGAAACTGTGAGCAGAAATACATCGGTGAAACAGGACGAAAAGTCGGCCTACGAATCAAGGAACATCAAAGACTCTGCAGGAACATGGATACACAAAGATCATAAATAGCGGAACACATTACACGGACGGGGCATGAAATCGACCGATAGGTTGGCTGGATATGGTGAAAATACGAGAAAACGCAAGATCCGAGAGTACATTGATATACTGACTGAGAGGTATCTAATGAACAGGAGACTTGAACAAGGCAGGATCAGCAAAAAATTTGCATATTGCCTAAAAAAACTCGAAGAATATCAGGTAACAGCAGTATCAGCAAAAAGAAGACGACTGGATCAAGGTAATATCCTTAATTTTAGGAAAAGAGATCTCAAGGTGGTGAGAAAGGAAGAATCAGAAACCAAGAGTGTGCCTTATCAAAACAAGTAGAACCAC